CGCCGGGGGGGGGGTCATTCCTTGGGCTCGATTGCCACCGAGGTGAACAAACGTCTTAACGCGATCAAGAGTTCCTGTCGCTCCCTGGACGAATTGCTGGACGTCAACAGAGATTTCGTCTCGCAGCAAGAGGTCTGCGCTCATCGGCGTTGAAAATGTTCGGGCCCTGAACTCGGGGGCGCCCTTGGCGACGGAGGGGCCGCGTGAGAAACTGGATCCTTTATTGGTCACATATTGTAGGCGGCCATGAGGGGGGGCAGCGCCGCTCGCGTTCAGAGTCGCAGCAAAGAGATGGCGCTCAGTCGTTGGCGTCGCGTGCTGGCCTTCCTTGAGTCTCGTGTCTTCCGCTTGGGTTGGCTTTCGCTGTTTGTTCGCTATCCCTCGCGGCGCGCTCAGATTCTGGCGTCGCCGTCTGCCGAGCTGCCACGCGGCGACCGCCCGCGGCGCGACGGCCGCGCGCGGTTGACAACATGCGCCGACCCTTGGGCGAAGTTGTTTTTTTGTGATTTACAAGGTTCGGAGGTTGCTGAGAAGGGCCGAGATCTGCTCGATCGTCTGCAATGATCGTTTCTCGCACTGCGGTGAGATTGGGAGTTCGGTAAAACCTTGTGGTAGATCTACTTCTCTCCTTCGACGTCGGCAGCGCGCGGTCTGGACCCCCCCGATTGCGACGGTCACTTCAGCGGCGTTCTCTCCGCGGGAATCGCTCAATGTGGCACTGTGAAATGGGCTCGTGGAGTATTCGAGTGGCGGTGCGATCCCGGCAACGGTCGGTGGTGTTATTTGATGCGACGCGAAGTTTCCCAATAAAAAGGGGCGCTTTATCGCCTGCGATTCCATCGCTTCTTCCGCCCCTAGAACACGCGCTATCTCGATCGAATTAATGGCCAAATTGTCTGGGCACCTTCTCTGGGCAGGTTGCTACGAGTTGGCGCTCGGTGGGCTCAATGAATAGGTTGCAGAATTGCATGGGGTGGGATGTCTCATGAAGCGCGCTGGCCGATTGAGGACGTGGCCTGCCCCCATGCGAATATCAAGCGTCGGGCGCCGACGAGTTTCAGCAGCGTGTCTGGGAATTGGTCATATTCCTCGAGTTGTCGATGCCGTAGTTCGTTCGCGAATCAGCGCTCGCCCGACCCCCTTGCTCGTCCAAAGCCAGTGCTGGCCGCCGTGCCCAACGCGGCGATGACCCCCAATCGGATGTCGCTTTTCCCTGACGCGCAGGACTGCAAGACAAGGCAACGCCGACAGCCCTCTTGGCGGCGGCGCGGCAGCGGCCAAGGCGGTCGTCCAGCGAGGCGGCAAGAAGCAACGCATCGACGAGCTCGTCATCGCGCTGGCCAAGCTGGTGCTCATCGGCGAGGCGGAGCTGCACCGAGGGCGCCGATCGGCGCGGTGCATGAGACGTGGCTGACGCCGCTAGACAGTCGGGCGGTGCAGTTCATGATCGAGGAGGGCCAGCACTCCAACGCAGAGGCTCAACAACTACGAGAGCAGCAAAAGGCAGCGGAGAAGGAGGGCATGGAGTTCACCGGGAAAGGTGCACGCGCCGTGCTCGAGGGCCTTCGCGGCGCTCGTCAAGGGCGCGGCCTACGAGGAGAAGGGGGGCGTCTTGTCCAGGGAGAGGCTGGCGGCGGCTCAGCACAGGGAGTCAGCGTCGACGACGGCGGAGGACCCCGCGGTGCTCGGCGAACCGGTGAGTTCCTGCAGGGCGAAGCGTCTCAAGTCCAAGGGGCAGGGCGGCAAGGAGCTCGTCGAGGTGCCGTTCCTCCTGGGCAGCAGCGAGCGCGGCCTCCAGTTCCTCTCGGCGATCCGCCGCGCTCTCAATGAGGAAGGGGGGGGGGTCAAGGCCATCGGCGCGGCCCCGTGAGGGGCGCCTGTTCGGCTCCTGGGCACGCGCAAGCGATAGGCTCGAGAGGCGAGAGGGTGCAGCTGGGCCAACAGAGAGGGGGCGCAGCAGCTTTGGAGAGCAGGTCTCTTGAGTGGGGAGGCGAGTAGGAGTGTTTCTGGCCTGTCGGGACTGTCCACCTAGCGTCCTCCACCCGTCTCTGCTCCCTCCGCCTCATGGCCTCAGCGCGCGAGCTCCTCCTGGCGACGGAGTCGTCTCGACTTCCTTTCCCGGTCTTGCGTGTGTCCCAACGGCCCCAGAGGTCGGTCGCTATTCAGCCCCCCCCTCGTCCGCGCAACGGAAGGGGCAGTGGCTCATCACTAGAGCGTGGCACTTCCTCAGGCAGAGGCTCTAGAGGTTAGTGCCTACGGTAGCAGCCGCAGACTGCGCGCCGTCGGATCCGCCATCGGGCCTGTCCCCGCGCCACCTTGGTCGCGGGGCCGCGCGGTGGTTACATCTTCCAGTCTGCCATCGCGGCGAATCCAGGCGCCCTTTTTTTTCTACAACACGTTCGTACGTGGGCGAGGGTCTTCATGGCTGTCCTTGGGGAGACGGCGCCACAGGGTCTTATCTTATCTGATGTCCTGCTGCTGCTCCTCCTCCTCCTCCTCCTCCTCCTCCTCCTCCTCCTCCTCCTCCTCCTTATCCTCATCCTCATCCTCATCCTTATCCTCATCCCTCCTCCGCTCTCATCCTCTTCCTCCTCCTCCTCCTCCTTCTCCTCATCCCCCTCATCATCATCATCATCCTCGCCCATCATAAATATCGCGGGCGTTCAAGAGGAGGGCGATGGCGACAGTGAAGACGCTGAAATGAGGACTGTCTTGGGTTTCGCGGTTGCTCCTCCAGCCTTCTTCGCGCGCCCAGGCGCCCAGACAATTCTGGTGCGGAGAAGGAGTTTCGGTCCTTTTGTGGCGTATTTTGTTTCAACAGGCCGAGTGCAGGTGGGGGGTCTAGTGGCTGGGGCTATAGTATTGCCCCTGATATCATGGCCTCCTCTTTTGTTTTCAACGTGCCCCCTGGCCCCTCTGTCGTCCGCGCGTGCACTTCAGGCCACGATCGACCCCCTTGGACGCCCCCCTCTCGTCCAGGCCTCCTAGATGGGGTCCTTGCATCGGCGATGCGCCGCGATGTGACCACCGATGTTTTCTACGTCGATGTTCTCCACGTCGGCGACGCACCGCCGACGTCGCCGATGCATCGGTGATGTATTACCGATGCGGCACGATCCTCTGGCCCCATCTACTTGGACCCCACTTGGGAGGCCTCGATCTTGGACGCCCCCAGTCCCTTGTGGGGGCACTGGTGGGCCGATCCCGAGGCGGTAACTGCTTCGTCCTTTCCATTTTCGGAGGTCCGCGCGGATTTCTTGGGTCTGGGCTGGACCCCCTGGGCAGCACCTCCGGCGCCACCCCTGGCGCGCTCCAGGGGGTTCAACGACCCTCCAAAGAACCCGCGCGGACCTCCAAACATCTATTATGCTCATGCTGTTGTTTGTGTCTCTAGATCGTCTAATCGGTAGTCCTCTCCGCTTTCCTTTTGGCATCCCTCTTCCTTGCGGTCTCCTGTCGTTCCCCCTCCTCACCCCTCTCCCTCCAGTTTCGCTTCCCCTGTCATTTGTTTCTCCCTTTCTCCCTCCTCATTGAGCCTCCTTCGCCCCCGCCGCCCCCGGCTCCTATCATCATTCGGCAACATCATCATCATCCTCATCATCACCATCATCAGCATCAGCATCAGCATCAGCATCATCATCATCATCATCATCATCATCATCATCATCATCATCATCAGTATCGTCATGTTTGGAGTCAACATTCGCCATCAACAAGTCAACAGCATCATGAGAGCAACGTCACCAGAGTCACAGGCAACATCATCGTCAGCAGCATAAACACATGTTATACATATATATATATGTATATATATATATATATGTGGCGAAAGCCTTACGGCCGGTGCCGCCGACCCTGAACGACGACGACGACGAGCGCTCTCGGGGGCCTCTTGGGGGTAGTTTGGGGGACTCTTAGGAAGCTCTTGGGAACCGCTTTGGAGTTTCGTGGGGACCTCTTGGGACTTCCTGGGGGTCTCTTGGGGGCCTCTTGGGGCTTTTTGGGGGGCTTCCTGAGAGCTTGTCAGGCCGAGGGATCGAAATGTCCGTTCGGGTCCCCCGTCTGGGCTCCCTCTTGGAGCCGTCTTGTGGGCCTCTTCGGCTGTCTGGGAAGCCTCTTGGGCGGTCTTGGGGCCCTCTTGGGTCGTTGTGGATCTCTCTTGGGGGCCCCTTGAGCCATCTTGGGGCGGTCTTGGAGGCCTCTTGGCCTGTCTTGGAGCGTCGGGAAGCTGACAAGGCGAGAATGCTGAAGCCCTTCAAAAACCTAAGGGCAGTCGACGTGTTTTGCCCCTTAGGGCCGTCTTGGAAGTCCTCTTGGAGGCCTCTTGGGGCGTTTTGGAAACCCTTTGAGCCGTCTGCAGGTTACTTTGGCGACTTGGACCGATACTTCGGAGATTCGGGGCCTTCGAAGACCGTCTTGAAGACATTTTGTGGCAGTTTTGCCTTGTCTTGGAGCTTTTCTGAGCCCCCCAACCGCCCGGAAGGGAGTCGTATCTGCCCCGGGACCCCCCCCAGGACCCCCCCCCGGCGGGGAGGGGATCAAAGAGAAAGGGCTTCCCTTCGACTCAACTACAACGTTGCTCAATTTCGCTGCGGCTGGCGCGCTCGGGGAGGTGAGCCCAGTGAAAGTGGGAGAGGGCGGCGACGGGCTTAGGGAAAGAGGAGGGAGTGGCGAAGGCGACGACGACGACAACAAGCACGACGACGACGACGACGAGTCAAACGGAACAACCTCCTCCACACGCCGACAGGGTCGGCGGATTCGTCGTCATGTTCATCATCACGCCCTGGTCCCCCTCTTGTCACAGCTCCCCCTCCGTCCCCCTTTCCATTCCTTCTCCGCCTCTCCGCTCGTTTTTCCATCCCCCCCTCAGGACTTATGACTCCTGGCCCTTCCTCCTCCTTCATCCCATCACCCCGTTCTGCGGCGGCCGTACATATCGAAGCTCTGCAGCTGCTGCCGCCCGTCCTTCTGGGATCGCCAGCGGAAGCGACACGGGAGGACCCAGTGGACAAGGAGTCGGTCGAGGCGTCCTCTGATTTCTTGGACTTCCTCCACAGAGTAGTGCCCACCATGGAGGAGCGGAACCTACAGTCGGCCCTGATAAGTAGGTCGACCGTGCCAAGTCGAGGGTACCCTTGTTTCCTGTCACTCCCGACCTCTGCAACCCTCCTGTCCTCTGGTGTTCTGGGGCCGCGTTGCTGTCGGAAGAGTTTTGTGCCCTCTCGGGTGTCCTGTCCAGTCGAGTCCGATTGTACGTCGTCAACGCTGCCGTCCTCGTCGTCGAAGATGGAAGACCATGGGGAATGAGGATTCGGAGTCGAAGGCAAAGCCTAGGATTCAATGCTCTCTACATAATAGTTCCCACCATGGAGGAGCGGAATCCACGTCGCCGTCGCCGTTGCCGTCTTCGCCGTCGTCGTCGACGATGGAGCAGGACCGGATCACGGCTTCCATCGCATCCTTGCCTTTGGGGCCACGCCTTGGCCATGTATCCTGGAGCGGTTGGTCCGACGCCGCTGCACTGCTCCCACGAAGACGGCCAGGGATCCGGCATCTTTAGTCTGGGTCCTTCCTTAGTAGACCACCTTTCGGGTGTTCAAGAGGTTTGCGGGGCGTGGGGGGGATGGGTGCAGCTGTCGGTGTGTGTGATTGGCGTCGCATCGGGTCAGCCATCTGTTTTATTTCCGAAGTATTGGAGGGGCCTTACGGCCAGTGCCGCCGACCCTGAACGACGACGACGACGACGATGCTGACGTGGGTCAGAGTCCTCAGGGATGCTTCTTGGGGTCTCTTCGGAGCGCTCTCGGGTGCCTCTGGGGGATAATTTTGGGGCCTCTTGGAAGCATCTTGGGGGCCTGCTGGGAGGCTCCTGGGGGCCTCTTGGGGCTCCCTGGGCGCATCTTGGGGGTTTCTTGGGGGGGTCTTGGGGGCGTCTTGGCGCTTCCTGGGAGCTTGTCAGGCCGAGGGCTCGAAATGTCCGTTCGGGTCTCCCGTCTGGGCACTCGCTTGGAGCCGTCTTGGGGGCCTCTTGGGCCGTCTGGGAGAAATCGTGGGCCGTCTTGGGGCCCTCTTGGGTCGTTTGGGGCTCTCTCGGAGGCCTCTTGGGCTACCTTGGGGCGCCTCTTGGGGCGTCTTGGACTGTCGGGAAGCCGAAAGGCCAGCAGTCGTCGTCGCTGTCGCTGTCTTGTCTGCTCGTCGTCGTCGTCGTCGTTGCCGTTGCCGTTGCCGTTGCCGTTGCCGTTGTCGTCGCCGATTCTTGTCGTCGTCGTTGTCCTCGTCGTCGTGGCCTTGATCGGTACTCCTACCACTGTTCGTACTGCTACTTGCTACTACCATCACGACTTCTAATACCATGCCCGCGCCCGCCACGTTACCGTTACCCCGCAATTGGAGCCGGGATCCCCACCCCGTCACGAACGTTAATGAGCGGAAGTAGGACAACCATTCTCCAGCTCCTCCTCCTCCTCCGCAGTGCCACGGCGTAACTTGTTGCGGGCCTCATGGTGACAATTCAGATTGCAGCAGGTGGGAAAGTCTTTTGCTGCCTGGGGTCGGACCTGAACCGACGGTGAGGAAGGGAAGAAGGATTATGAGGAGGACGAGGAGCGCCAGTAGGCCGATGTCAAAGACGGTGTAGTAGAGGGAAGGGGATGGTGGCAATGATGATGATGATGATGATGATGATGATGATGATGATGATGATGATGATGATGATGATGATGATGATGCTGATGCTGATGCTGATGCTGATGCTGATGCTGATGCTGATGCTGATGCTGATGCTGATGCTGATGATGCTGATGCTGATGATGGTGATGGCGATGGTGATGGTGATGGTAATGGTGATGATGATGATGATGAGGAGGAGGAGGAGGAGGACGACGAGGAGTACGTGGAGGTCGAGGGAGGTTTCTTTAGAGTCCGCTTCATCTGTCCTTGGACACCCCTGTAAGCTCCTACTACTCGCCCTCCTCGTCCTTCCACTCCTGCGAGGCGCCTCTCAAGGGTCTAGCATCCTGATCGAAGGCGCCTCTGGCGACCCACCGCCGCCTCCTGTCTTTTGGACACGCCTACGTGGGAAAACGTATGGCTGAAGTCTGGCCAATATATATGAACCAGTTGTTCACCCAACGCAACCATTGTGGAAACCCTTAGAGGAACTCTTGGGGTGAAGAGAGAGAGGAGGGAGGGGAGGGGGAGGAGAGAGGAGAAGGTGCAGGAGGAGGAGGAGGGAACCTTTGGGCCCCCTTGGGCCCTCCTTCTAGGGTTTTCTTGGGGACCTCGTGGGCCGTGTTTGGGCCCCCTGGGCCTGTCTTGGGGCCCTATTCTGGGTTTATCGGGCCGTCTGGGAGCTATTTTGGAGGCATCTGGGGCCGTCTTCGGCTGTCACAGTGCTGAACAGGCGAGAACGCGAAGATCGTCAAGTCACAGATGGGGAATCAATACTTAGGGTGTCTGCTGCCTCTCTTGGGCCGTATCGGGTGCTTCTGTGGCTGTCTTGAGGCGATATGAGGCCGTCTTGGAGCCATTTTGGGCCGTCTTGAAGACATCTTTGGGCCATCTTGGCCGCCTTGTCTTGTAGGCCATTTTGACACATCTTCGCCCTCTTGAAGACCCTCTTGAAGCCACCGTGGACGGAAACGCTCCCAGGTTGTATCTACCCGTCCTCTCGGGGTGGCCAGCGGGCTAGGCTGGAGGTCACCGAGAACCGTCGTGGAAGGAACAAAAAGAGCTTTGTGGTCTGGCACGCGAACACCTCCGGCGGGCTACAGAGGCGGCTCATATTGTCGCTTCTGGCCCAACCCGCCTCTGCCTGGGTTATAGACCAGAGACCTTTTATTAGATATCTCATCGATTCTCTTGGGAGGCGTATTCAGTGCCTCTTCAAGGTAACTACCCTGGAGGTGTTCTGGGGGCCTTCTGGAGATCTCTTGCCAAGCGATCTCCAGGATTGATAGGAGGCCTCTTGAGGGGGGCCTCTTGGATCCTTGGAGCCTGCTGACGGTCTCGGGTACCGAATGCTTGGTGGGAGAGGCTGGAACTGTAAGTGCTGTTCCCCGTCATTGGGGCCGTCTCGGGAACCTCTCGGGCCCTCCTGGGGGCCGTTCTGGGGCGACCTTTGCAGGCCTGCGCCCGGAAGACCGGAACGACGAGAAGGGAACAGTCTATGATGGCCTCTGAGGCCGCCCCGCAGAGCCTCCAAGATTGACTCGAGGGGCGCTCAAGAGGGCGCGCTCCCGAGGTTTCCAGAACTGTCACGCGAGCAGACCCGGAAGATCCCGATGGCGCCCGCGAGTTTGGGCCCCAGTTTTTCAGGGAGCATCTGCAGAATTGGATGCGGAGAGCTCGAATGCACACGAGGCGGATGCTCGCCGTTGTTTCCGAATCTGACTCCAAGAGAGAGAGAGAGAGAGAGAGTCAGAGAGACAGAGAGAGAGAGAGAGAAAGAGCAGGGAGAAGGAGCGTAAGGAGATGAGGGGTACGACGCGCACGAGGAAGTGAAGGAGATCGGAACATGTTGGAGCTATATCGAATTTGTCTTGGGTTATGCCGCGTTTTCCAGCTGGGCGTTTTTCATTACCTGAATACATACCTGTATTTGTTCTGGCTCAAACCTCACCCAAGATTGTTCACTCGCTGGCGTGATTTCATCCGACTCGCATCTTTGCGTGAGGCCAAACATCACCATCATGCGCGGCATCACAATCCTTTTGCTCGTACCGCTTGTCACGGCCACACACTATGAAAATCCAAAGGACGGATGCGGCTCTGATGAACAGTCTGTTCGAATTCAGGGTATTCGGTTGCCTTCGGCAAGTCCCGTCACCGTGACAGCGCGGCTGCCGAGCAGGGAGGAGGTGGGGTGTCAGACCAGCTCATGTTCAGTGCCTTGTCTGAGTTGGCACGTGTCTCAAATCTTGTTGTCCTAGTGTTCAACGCCCCTGTCCTTGTCCTGATTCTGAAAACCCGCCCAAGTTCAACTTCCTTCTTCATGCCTCATCCCTACCTCCTTCCTCCTTCCTCCCTTTCTCCCTCCCTCTTCATTCTCCCCCCCCCTCCCTCTTGAAGGCACATCATTGGAGGCAGATTGCAAGCTTCTTGGGGCCTCCTCTGGGGCGGATTGGCGGCCTGTCGAGGGCCCGTCAGGGGGGGGTTGGAGCCGCCTTGGGTGCCACGGTTCTTCCGAGCCCTCCAGAGGAGCCTCGGCTGAACCACTGGGGGGTTCTCGGGCCGCCTTGATGCCTTCTTGGGAGATTGTCTGAAGCTTCCTGCAAGGCGATCCGACTCCGAAAAGCGTCGGGAGCTGCCGGCATTGGCATCCCATATGCATCGCATTGTTGGGCCTCGTTGGGGTCACTTCGGGGCTTTGGCAAGTCTTCTGGCTTCTCATGGACATCTTTATGGCCTTGGGTGCTTGTTGCAGCCATCTTGAAGCGATCTTGGGCCGTCTTGGAGCCGTCTAAAGGTCCAGCTGCGCTCCAGATGTAGTTCTAGGGAAGAATGTTCGCAGGGTGCACATGGCGCGGCGAGGAGCAACGGCGACCCATGGAGAGAGGTTACAGAAGCCTATCGCACAAGCAGTAAGTATTACAACACGCCGCAACGTGCCGAGTTCGCGGTGGCGGATCTCGGGGGATTTTTGCTCGCCAGCTTGCAAAGGCACTTCGTGCCCAACAGATCCGCCTTCAGCATCCGACGCCGAGCCCACGTGCGCGCTCCAGTCCCCGACCGGAGGCAAGTTCTGCGCGCTCATCTGCACGCCCGGTGGCAACGGTGCTTGTCCAGAGGGAGCTTCGTGCCAGCCCATCCAGGGCACCGGGATCTGTACATATCCTGCCTCAGAGGGTGAATCTGCGGAGACGGAGGCGGTGTTCAGCAAGGATCTATCCTAGAGGCTTCAGCCATTACACCGCCCACCAGCTTGGCGATTTGATGATAACACTGGTCGCAGTTGTGTGGCGACCTTGGGTTGCCCGTCTTGTTTCTGATGTGTACTCCAGCTGGGAACCTGAGGCAATATTGGTCGTTGCGTGATATACGACCCCGAATCAAACCTTCGGGTCGGTTGTGGAGGG